GAGTTTGTAGAAAACACTTTAGTTTGGTGAAGTTTGAGACACCATTTCTGAAGCAAAATGTTTAGCCTAAATGTTAAAGAACACTAATGTAAGAAGCTGTACATAAGTTACAAAAGTCAGATAGCCTCATACACTACTTGAGTCCTTTGATAATTCAAAGAACCAAAAATTACTGGTACAAATTCTTGCCATTGCTGCACTTTTAAAGGAAACATGACAAGACTATATGCCTGGTGCTGACAGTCAGCCATCTGGGACACGTGTTGTGGGATGTGTATTGCAAAGGATGATGGGATAGTATCATACCAACTCATAGACTCATACCAACTAGTAACTTTATTATTCGCCATTTGCCATTTGACTAAGGCACTACCCCATAACTCGCAGTTTAAATAGGAGGCTGTTTTTCACCCACCCACCCACACCACCCTATCAACCCAAGGGAAAATGAGTGTCATACAGAGACACGGCCTGCTAGCTGCCACGCGACTTTGGCACTGCCAAATTACTCATGAAGGATGATCAAATGATTGTGCAGTTTAAATAAGAGACAGCCCTACGTGCTTATGCATATTGTTTTACCCATGTGCGTTAGCTTTTTTGTTCTTGTGCGACTGTAAGTCACTTCTGATTTCTTCTTTTTCCTTCTACCACTCTTCCCAGGGTTTCTGAGATCTACTCCCTTTGCGTTCTTCTTTGTGTGCCCAGCAACGTTTTGCAAGTAGTTGTTATTGCTTTCGACCGCCGCTTCTCCTCTATGGAGTATTTAGTGGGATATTTTACAGTAGTCTCTAGATCTTGCTGAACCTAGAACGTGTTGTGCAGTGTGATAATTAACTCATCCAGTTTTTCTCCCTCCTTCAAGATTGTCAGCAGTCTGTTGAAGAAAGAATGTATATAATCTTTGTAAAACATTTCAAGCAAAGCATCTTTTAAATGAAAATACATGTATTACTGTAACCACATCTACATGATTGTATTGACGTTGTCATCGCATCCTGTCCAAAGAAAATTGCTGGTTGTGGTGTGTTCTCTGCCGAAATCAGCGACCATAGTTTTACATATGCTGTAAGGAAGGCTAAACAACCAAGACATTTACCAAGAACATTACGAACATTTAGAACTTAAATGACCTGTCCTTCGAAGAATACCTGTCAAATGCGCATTGGGAATAAGCTGAGAACTGTTCTAATGTTAATAGCACGAGGGTCTACTTTTCAAACTCTTATTAGCAGGTATATCAGGAAGATTCTTCGACGTTTTAAAAAACTATATAACCAATCCACAGCTAGCGTCAAGACGAGTAAAGGCCTCAGCGAGAGTTCCCCAATAGAAATTGGAGTAAGACAAGGCTGTATCTTAAGCCCTTCTTTATTTAACTTATATATGAGTAATTTAGCCAACCAACTAACTACAGATTCTGAAAATTTTGATGCCCCCATATTGAACACAAACAAGTTATCTAGCCTTTTCTACTCAGACGACCTTGTGCTGTTATCGACAAACAAACATGGCCTACAAAATCAATAAACAATCTAAACCAGTACTGTAAAAATGGAAATTATCAATTAATATAAACAAAACAAAAATAATGATTTTCAACAAAAAGGGGCAGTTGCTTCCAAACTTTAAATTTTACGAAGGAAGCCAAAATATTGAAATTGTATCCTCCTACAGTTACTTATTATTTAGGAATTATATTTACAACTGGCGGTAACTTCAGCACTGCAATGAAAACTCAACAAAAAGGCCTTACGAGCCCTCTTCAGTATAAAATCTAGTCTAGGTGACAGTAATGCATCAGTGTCAGTTTATTGTAAATTATTCGATGCTTGTATTGTCCCCATATTAACTTACGGTACTGAAGTATGGGGCAAGATTGGACTAAACGATGACTCCCCAGTTTAACAAGTACATTTAAAATTCTGTAAGTCAATCCTTGGTGTAAGAAAGAATGCTAGTAATATCGGCTCAAGGGCAGAACTTCAATATTCAATTATCTTCAATATTTCTACTCAGAAATAAACTCCAAATGCAGCAAAAATGGAAAAACAAGGAAATAAGTTAAGAACTTACAAAACAATTAAGCTTACGTATGAAAAAGAACAATATTTAGATGTACAAAACTTCAGTCATCGCCGAGCAATGACAAAATTAAGGATTAGTGATCACCAATTACAGATCGAAATCGGTAGGTACAACCAGACTCCCGTAAACAGCAGAATTTGCACTCCATGTAACTACAACTGTATAGAGGATGAGGCACACTCTGTTTTAGAATGTGCGATATATAATGACATCCGGAAATCCTTTATTAGCTCCTTACAGTTAGAAAAGAAATTTGCATACTTGCCGAAAATAGAATTGTTCAAACATATTATGACATCCAATTATATAATTGAAAAACTATGTAAATTTGTTCATACATGTTTCAAAAAGAGAGAAGAGATCCTGTAGTTAGATCCTGTAGATAGAGAAATAGCACACGATTGCAACAATTGCTTCTTCTATTCTTGTTACCAAGTTATTTAACTTAAGTGCATTTGGCCCGTGTAGGGCGTGAACATGCAATGAAGGTCATTGCCATTGTTAATGACGCCTCATTCTGTTTTCAGTCAATATTAAGTTTAACTTGTGACAAACACGCTCCCTGGGTAACTATACGTGTGAGGGGCCATGGACCACCCTGAGAGACCCAGAAATACCTGGCAATGACGAGCGAACGAGACGTTTATTTCTAGCGAGCAATGAAAACAAATCTACATTCTATATTGCAAAAAGAAAAAAAAAATGCTACGTAACAAACGTAACAATACGTCACAACCTGAAAATCTGAAAAAAATCATTCCAATGAAATTAAGGCGTAAATGTCTCTAGTCCATGCTAAAACTCTCCGACTGGGCCAAGACAGAAACGGCATTAACATTCTAAACAAAGTGGAAAAGAGACTGCAAATGAATTTAATGCGTACTTTATATCTATTGGTTTGAAGCTAGCTGCAGCCTTTACTAGAGCCTAGACTGCAACTGTATGGCTCTCAAGGTTTTTAAATTCACTGGCTTTAAGTGCCACCAACTAATAAACATGCCACCAGGCAGAAGAATATGTTTAGATGAAGTAAGCAGTCGACTAAGTCATGCTGCTCCTGTTATCACTGCTCCGTTGACATATATATACAACCTCTCGCTGTAGACAGAAGTAGATCCGACACAGTTAAATAGCTAAAGAAACACATTTACAAAAAGATAGAGACACATGCAATTCTAGTATTGTTAATAAATTATGCAAATAAGGTACTTTATTAATGAGGGAATAAGTTATGTTAATGATGTTCATCTTTACTTAAAGAGGAATTTGGAGGACCCAGGGTCCTCCACCAATAAAGAAACTATCCCCTGTGAGGATCTAGTAGCTAAATTGACCCCGCACATCCTCCCAACATCATAAATGGATTATAAGCCACGGGGTGTCTGAACCCGACTGCCATTGGAAACAATGGGAGCAGACGACAGACAGTGATTTGCATATTAACTGACGTTTGAAGTTTTGAAAAATGTTGTATTTTATCTTCACTAGTTTTTCAACAAAACATTGCCATACAAGGAATGACAGTTGCAGCAAACCTATATATACATGTATATAAACACAATCCATGTAACATTTACTTGGCAGTCGTTATACACGATAAGGGCCTACAGTTTCCAATTTGAACAATTCCAGCAGAGATGAGCCTCTGTCAAGCTTCCATGTTTGTTTCAAAAACTTATATCTGTAGTCACAAATTGCACGTCTTATCCACAGCCAAACTAGATTTCTATTGATATGATAGTTGTATGTTAACAAATATACAATGTAGAAACATGTAGAAACGCATTTGGCGGCTTCTTGCATTATATTAGAATCCAAGTCTGAAATGCTGAATAGATGAAGTCCCAGTTTACCAGGATTGGCATAGTACATGCCTGTGTAGTTTATATTAGTCTATATTCTTGTTGTTTAGTAAAATATTATACTTTTCATGTGCATATCCATGTCTCCACATAATGTTGAAGAGGTGTACTTGGTATACTATCTCAGCCTAGCTCTCCCCATGTGTTCACCACGGCTGCCAGTTGCAGAATGAGCTGTGAGAGTTTACAGTACCCGAATTTATTGGGTGGTTTTTATAGTCCAAACCTTCCTCTTTAACTATCAAATACCCCCTAATGTGAAATTCCAGGCACTCACCAACTATAACATTTACTCATTAATTATGCAAGTTAGGTCTTACTTGATACAATCAAATCTGCCTGCGTTTCACTTGTCCTCAAATACCAGATTACCCTAATGACATGAATATATCAGTAGTTCTCCTATCCCGAGCCTATCCAGCTCGTCTCCCTTATTACTAGTATCTGGAGCTTGTTTTCCTGTTGCGCCCTGTGCTGGTGCCCTGCTTCACACATTGTTCAAACGTTTCGTACATCATTCGAACGTTTACAGGATCTGCATACTAACAAGACATCGTAATACTGGTTTCATGATACTAAAAAATATCGTAGTACTAAAAAATATCATAATAGTTGTTTCACCTAAGGATAAAGCACCAAAGGAAAGCAAATGTGGGTAGTTTACCATATACAGTGTCAAGGACAGAATTCCATGTAAGGGAACTTGTATTGGCGAGACTAAAAGAACTCTCAAGGCTAGGTTCTTAGAACAAAAACGACCTAGCTCGACTAGTTCAGAGGTCTCACAACACATACACATAGATTCGCCTGGACAACCATTACTCAACAGAGACGGGGGGGCGCCACAGACTTTCTGCAACCTTTGATCCACTGCTCACGGAGTCACGTATACTTGGCATAATAAAATACAATTATAGCAAACCAGGATCTAATTTTTATAATTAAAGAGAAATTCTTTCATTCTGCTGTATTCCATAAAAGGGCTATGAAATACTTAAGACATATTTACTTGAGAAAGACAAGATCATTAGCAGATTTTTATTATGCCAATAAAAAAACCTAATTCGCATAATTAATGGGAAATTCGTGCACTTTTATAGTGGTAACTGATGAGAATTTAATACTTGCTATAACTGGATGATTGGATGTTCAGTGAACATCGCTAAACATAATTTATTCAAATCAGGACCACATTTGCATAATTTATGAGGGAAACACTAGAATAGCATTATTTCTTAAATATAATCCTGTCATTGGGTGGAGAATATGATCAACTGATATAGTATATGCAAACTGCAGACTGCAAACATGAGTTGGCAAAAGTATGTCAGAGGTCGTGTTTGCCATTATAACCAACAATACCATACGTTCTCCATGTTAAATGAAAATGATTTCACCAGTGTGTTGCATGTTCCTTGGTAGGAGCTATGTGAATCACTTGTACAAATATTTTGCAAATGAGCAGGATTGTAAATGTAAGCCTTGACAGGTGGTCATCACCATGCATAAGATTTACGAAGTCATGCAGATATGAGGTCGTCGAACTGTTGTTTTTAAATATATCTACTAACCAATGGCGGGTGCATGGCGTGCATATCATCGTATACTCTCTTCTCGGCTATCCAGCGCAGCATATGTTTGCCTTTTTTCTCTACATCTGACTCAAGTTTGGCCATCTCTTCTTTATCCCAGCCTGTGACAGGTTGATTTTGGTGAAACTCCCCGTAATACCTGCGTGTATTAAGAATGTGTAAACATACTTAGTCTAGTTATTAGTTACTAATGAAACAAGCTTTCTATGTCTGAAGAATCACATAAATGCCTATGGAGTCCCAAGGCCAAAGAGTTATACTTGACAGGGTGCAAATACTGCAAATGATAAGGTGTTGCTTATTAAGGAAAGTAATTGAGGAAGGGCCCATCAACCTCCTCCGAACTGTGGTGGTATTATGTGTCGTCTTTCGGTAACTTTTATGCACGCTTGACGTCAGTGCGCTTAAGGCTTCAGGACAGTAACCCCCATCATCTTCAATTTAGTTGTAGCTTTTCTATCGTTAAAACAATACTATTAGAAAAAGTTAAGTTAGTATATATAAAAATTGAAGTATTCTTTGGTCTGTCCGCGTGTCTGTGGGTGTTTAAGCAAATGTGTATAATGATAACTTCAAAATGGAAATGAAATTCAGTATTTTTTTAACAATAGACTTTTCAGGGTTTTATGTCAAGTTACACATTTTTTTCTGATATCAGTAGCATCTAATGTAATTATATGTAATTTTATCAATAGATTATGCTAATTTGATGACGCCATTGGTCAAAATCCATGATTTCGGACCATATCACTGTATCAGTTATATACAGGTTATTTTCATCAAGGCAATGTTGATTTGGTTATATGGATGACATCCGCACGCGCATGAATTTTCAGCCGATTCCAAAAAAAAGTTTTCAACCATACTGTAAATCGTACAAAACAGTTTCAAAATTAGCAAATATAAATCGTTAGTTGCAAAACTTGTTTTATTCGCACGCTCGCATCAGTTTTGGGGTTTCTAGAGGATTTCATCGATATAATCAAATCAATATGGCCTAGAATTTCATCACTACTTCATTTTTTTACAAAAGGTCCATATGAACGTCTTAAGTCTATTTCAATGTATTTGTATGGTTATCTTTAAAAAGTATATTTTCTTAATTCAAGATTGATGATCCAAGATGGCGGACAGCCAAAATATGCAGGCGTCATTTTATGATGCCACTGAAGTTGCTATGGGCAACATAAATCTTATTATACCCTAACATTTTTCACGTTTTGTTAAAGTTAAGTTGACCGTATACCATGACATTTTAATCCTAACTAGACCGGGCGTTTTTGCAAGTCGTGGACCCCCCATTCGCCCCTCAGAAGTCGAGAACGGTATATCGTATGACCAACAAATCTTTAGAGGATGGTGTACTAGTAAAACTAGATCATAGCAATTTTGACGACTTTATGATGTTTTATGACATCATGCATATTTAAACTATCCGCCATCTTGGCTCACCAATCTTGAATTTTAAACTATTTTTTTCAAAAAGCCTAAAATACATTAAAATAGACTAAAGACGTTCATATGGACCTTTTGGTAAAAAAAATAAAGTAGTAATTAAATTCAAGGAGAAGACCTGTATATACATGGTTTAATGATATGGTCCGCCATCTTGAATTTTGGCCGATGACGTCATCAAATAAGCATAAGTTCTGAATTTAATCAGAAAATGTATATAATTTTACATAAGATGTTATTAATATTAGAAACCATTTGTAGATTGGCATAAAACCCATAAACTTCTATTATTAAAACAAAAATTACTAAATTTAGCGAAAAATGCTTTATAACGTTATTGGAGAAAATCGAAGATGGTTGACCATATCATTCAATCAACTATACATAGACTATTTTAGTTTTGATTGATACAAATAATACACAAATATAACAGATTTATATACAAGTATATTTGCATATTTATATTTAAGTATTTATTAATGAATTTATGTATTCTTCCCGCGTTTACAATAAAAAAAACAATATACAATATATCTACACCTGACAAGAGCATGTCTTTCACGAATTATAAAACGTTGTTAAATAACTAGAAAAAAAAGCACAGGAACAAAACCTTACTTGTCCACCCATTTAAAGGTCCCGTCTGCAAGCATCTTCTTTAAGATGTCGTACTCTGCCCCCTCAACGTCAAGCTTGAATATAACGTAGTCTTCCACCGCGGTGTTCTCCTGAATCCATCGGGACAGGTCGACTGTCGGCACTGTCCGGTGAAGAGTCAATTTCCGGCGGCCGCCCGTCTCAGTGTTTGCTTTCTCCGATTCCCAAGCGAAGAGTGTACCGCCGCCCCACTGCAACTCTCTGTCCTTAGCCGGTGACCAGACGGACTCAAGGTAAGCTGTCATGTTTCCTATTGATGAAATATAGAGCCAGGTTTTAAAAACCTTCGACAATTGTAGTCTCATTAACTACGGCATTTTTCCGTATCTTTTGTACTAGGTGTACCCAGACATTTTTAACAGACAAGGGTATACAAAAACTTGGTACACTTGATATTTTTGGTAACTTTTGTACTATTTATAGCCTAAATACTATTATTGGTTATATAAATATGTGTGACAGGCTGAATAAAAGTTCTAAACGGGAACTATGCGGTTCCAGATGTCTTACTGAGGGACGACTGCGTGTGCAAGATGTCGGTAGCTTGAGGAATGAATCCCCTCTACTATATACTACTATTATTGGTTATATAAATACGCGACACCGGTAAGAACATCTAATTCCGTAATATTCTATCCTAGACACTTGGTTTTATTCCACTGAGTTATACGGAAAACAATCACGGTTTTAGCACAAAAAAGCACAAAAAACGACGTTGTTTTGACGTTTTTTGACGTTATAATTACACCAAAGTTGCTGTTATAGTCTACTTTTACTGCTATATCCCTAAGAATTTTGGTGACCCTAAGATAAGAGTTTTTTTTAGTTACAGCATGACCAAAAACAGCCCAACCTGAATCAGGTTTATCTCCAAATTTTAAAGTGGTGCCCGCCGATATGAGTTTAAACAAGCTGCTAGATGACGCAACATTCCTAATTTATGACCCTAGCCTGTCCAGATATCAAAATATCTAAATAGTAGTTATGTCCTGGTACCATTTAAAGACCAGGCTTGTACTATATTAGCACCGAAAGAATCCGGCTAACGTAAACTACCAGGCTTCATTCTATCCCTGACTTCCTCTGGCTAAGGTGGTGACCAAGACTCTTAAGACACGTTGGGTTTGAAACATATTGACAACAAATAACAATAAGGAATGAGATGTACATAAAGAAGTTAGTGGCCTAACCCAGAGTATAAATTAAAGTAATGGCAACATTGCCTTGCCAAGGTTTGCCTGGTAGTGTAATATATGGTTACTTGTTCAGTTCAAACAGTTAATAGTACACTATTCTCTTAAATTACGTGGCCGTACGATTTCTGAGGGGGGTGGGGCGAATGACCAAGTCCCAGTCCTAAAGATCACAAAAAAGTCTAGATAGGGTTAAGATACCATCTTCAGCTGGACATTACACACCAGCGGGACGGTTCTAGTTCCAACGCCAGGTTGAAACACAAGAACACCATTGAATAGACGTTAAAAACAACGTCAGCTGGAAATACACCAGTCAATACAGTTCAAATCATTGTTTAGAAATTTTTTAATACCACTGTAGTAACTTTCTTGGAATATGTTGAAAAAATGTCTCCAGTAATAATGATTAGAAAGAAAAAAAAAATACTTTACACATCGTCTGGACCATAACTAGCTATTTAAAGAAAATCAAAGAATCCGTCAAACCCATTGTGAACTACAGCAGTGAACACACAAACGGCATTAGATGCATACGCTTCTTCTTCAATGCCGTTGTCCATTAAAAGAATTACCTCACTATAATACGATTACCAAAGTAATAAAGATAATGAAAATTTCAAGTGCGTCCATCAGATATTGAGTGTGTCATTAATGGTCCAATTATAACATCCCCATACTAGAAATATTTTGATAACCACTTAAAGTTAAAAGAATAATGATAGTTGTAGGTTAAATAGGGAAGACAACAACATGCCTAGTGTCTAATGTTATAATGTCCAATTATGTGAAAACAGAGTAATGCGTTCAATAACCCGGCTACATTATTGTCCATGTGCGTGCAGTATAATGCAAGTAAACCTGCAAAGAAAAATCGTTGCGTTATATATCCCTGCTAAGAATAGGGAAGTCTGTCTGAGCGTCATGCATGATAACAGGGAAAAATATATTACGTGTAGGCATACGTTGACTAACATAGACCCCATTTTAAGGTAGTAAGCTGCGAAACAAATTTAAGGCTACACCACTCTTTTTTAAATGAGGGTAAAATGTAAAAGGTTTAAAAAAAACTGCAGATCAACAACAGCCGGCTAATGCACTCTAAAACGCAAAGGCCCAAATACCCACGTACGAAAGATAATCGCAACCCGGCGGTTCTTGAGATCATTAGCCGAAAATAGAATCAAAATTCGAACGACCCTGCAGGTCCCCAGGAAACAGCTATGGGGCCCGAATTTACACAATTAATATCTTTACAGCTATATACCACCTTAACATCACGTCCACAGACTGCCCAGCGCTAAAGATATTTTTTTAAATCCTTATTGCAGTTCTAAGGTCAATCACCAGGGGCCCAAAGTCAACTTACACAATTCTCTTCACCCCATTTACCGACCGGCCAAATATTCTTACATTCTGTACGACAGATCATGACATACTACTATACACCTCTCACTCCATGGGGGTAAAAAATGTAAAGTGCGTTCCATTGGATATTGACCATGTGTCTTGATGGCCCAAAAATCTGAAAATGACTTGCTGTGATCGGTAATATTATTTCTATAGATTAATTTGTAACACACTATCTGTCTTTCCGTGCCTACTCACCGTCCTTGTTCGATACCCCTGTTGGACAGTGCAGCACGTGATTCGGGTACGAAGCGAAGTATGGCGCCAGTCTCTCGTCTATTTCAAAGGAGTGTATGATGAAGTCCTTTCCTCCCGGGTAGGTCTCTCTAAATAATTGTACAGTGGACGCCACATTGGCACCGCAGTCGAGTAAGATCTTTCTTGGCTGCCCAGCGGTTGGGAGTCTGCAAAATAGGAAACTAAAAGGTCGGACAGGGTGTGTCATCAGAGACTTGAATTTAAGAAACACATGCAATACACTTTACTTCAAAACTATAAATATTTTCGTTTTAAATGCGTTTTCCGCAATTTGGACCATATGATTGTATACTACATTAACTAAGCTCTCTAGTTTTTTAAAGTTTAAGTAAGGGATATTCATTAAACGTCTTTGCTTTGGCATGCCTCGAAGATAACGTTACAGTTCTCCACTAATTGCAATTCCGAACAATTTATTAAAAGACCAACGTATTCCTAGTCTTAAAATCATTCGACTACTTCGAAATCATAAACCTTGAATCTTATATTGAGTACCGTACATACATACAGGCAGGCAGGGAGGTCAAACTTTACGTTACTTTATGTTGCCCATAACAATCCATTGGAAATCATTGATAACCATCCACAGGTTCTCGAGTTATGTTGTACACAAATGACAAAAAACAACAACTATGCAGCAAGAAGGAACCTAATAGGGTAACCATTTTCTAACTTGGACTTTGTTTCCATAATCGCTACTCACATACAGATAGCATCAAGATCCATTCTCACCTTCTTGAGTTGTGATGAACACAGGCTATCAACAAATGCACAGTCCGCTGCATTACGGTTTGATGACCATTTTCTTAACTTCACCTTAATTCTATATAAGCTCCTAACAACATACCAAATATCAGAGATTCACCCACAACTACTCAAGTTATGACGAAGACAAGCGCCTTTTTGATGAAGGTAATGGCAATCTCTTTTTAATTAAAATCGCTACACTATCACATTTAACCCTTGACAGTACACCTTCCCGGACTGATTAATTTTTACACCTGGGGTCCGCGCGGACCTCAGAGCAGTTTTTTGGCTAATTTTTAGAAATTATCAACATGCTACCGGCTAAATTGTTTTGCAAATCGATGTGTGAACCTCTGAGTTTTGACCTTTTACTATTTTTTGGTGAGGAAAAGTAAAAAAGAACAAATACCCGATTTTACACCCTATTCAGACCGAGTGTTTTTTTGAGGCCCGCGCCGACTTTAATCTCAAATAGCGCCTGAACGGCTTGACTTAGAACCATCAAATTTGGTGAGCTTTCCTAAAATATACCTGGGAAAATTTTTATATTAGTTAAATAAGTTAATGATTTTTTGTGTTGCCATGGCAACGGGTTTCTGACAGACACTTTTGGGGGGAAAATCAGTAATTTTGGTTTAAGCAAGATTTTCTGGGTTTTATATTAAATAACACTTCTTTTCTGACATTGATAGAATCTTACATAATTAAAGATGAGTTAAATCTTTTAATATTCATAATGTATGCTAATTTGATGACGTCATGGGTCAAAAACCAAAATGGCGGACCATACTATGAGCTCTGACCGCATATGACGTCATGATCACACCAAAGTTTTTAGAATTTCATTTTGTTAGTACAGCATTCTCTGAAATTTTTTGGCCATTCGATGAGTGCATAAAAAAACATATAAAAACGGAAATAAACTAATGTATAAAAACGCCAGTGTGTCCATTAGAATTAAAAGCCGGCTGGGGTCCGAGCGGACCCCGAAGGAAATTCAGATATACATTTTTTTTTTAAAATTGGGGAAACTGAGTTTTTTGTACTGTATTGAGGGACAACTTAGTGGTTGACAATTGCCCGAAATTTCAGAAAAAATCTTTAAAAAACAAAAAAAAAAAATATTCCAGGATATATAGTGCTGGGGTCGGCGCGGACCCCAGGTGTACTGTTTAGGGTTAATAAATGATGTATATTTTTGTATCATATACTCACAAAACAGTATGCAAATTGTAAAATGTTGAACCTTATTCCATCAGACAGATTAAACAGGGATCAAATTTCCAACGACCATTGTCGCCTTCATATGGATAATCAATGGCCAATCACTTCAAAACGTAATCTCACGAGAAAATTTATAGTTGCGCCAAAGTTTGACAACCACGCATTACATATACAAATATAATGAAACTAAACATATATATTGGCTTAACATTACATGACTTACACATACTACGAAACTATACATGCATCTTGACGACTCTATACATGACTTCACCAAATTCTATAAACTATACAGTTAAAAATATAGCAGCCACGTCGAGAGTCCTATGTGTTTCTCTTTTCTTTCCGCGAGAGAAAGTAGTCCGTTCTACGGCTCCGGGCGTCGACACGCCCCACAAGAAAGCTTACCGCGGCATTATACAATCGCCTATATTCCTTATTGTAACTTTATTTCTAATATTCAGACTTCCTTATTTGCTCCCAATGAATTTTTGAGACAAAAAAAGTACCTTTCCCTATTCGATATTATGACCTGACATAAGGCAATTTTAGTGCAATTTCCGCCCGTGTATTTTCACCTTGATGCAGATTTTGCACTAACAGGAAATTTGCTCGATGAGAAAGATCAAATCCTAAACTTTCTGATGGTATTTAACATACATTCCAAAGCAGAAATTACACCACATAGAGCGCGCGTCCCTGGCGCGCCAGTGAGCTACGTGTGTTCTACGCATATGAACCTACATGTCCTATACATCGCTAGATTTAAATCATTGTCGACATACGGATAAAGTACTTTTATTTAGACTACACTGGATGTTAATTCATCTTAAATTAAACAGGTTCTTTTATTTTGCTCTCAGAATATATGTTTCCGGTTCCTTGATTGCCGCGACCTATCTGAAAACCAGCGTCTGCCTAAACGCGGGGAAACATTATACTCTCGTAGCTTCCTAACCTTTGAAAAACGTACAATTAGAACAAGAATTCGTAGATCTTATACCTCCATAAAATATATGAGTTTTTGTAAATGACATGTCCTCATTGATTATGCAAATGACCTCTAAATTAACATAATATATGCACAGCGGTGTTAACTTTTAAGTAACTTACACATGTCACAAGGTTTAAAATTCCTATCATTTACCTATTAGGAGTCACAAAATGGTCACATTAATTATGTAAATAAGGTCATCATTTGCGTAATTGGTATCTGTTGATGTTCCGACTGCCACAGATTAAATAGATTACACGTATAGCAGTAATATTATGTAAAACACTGTAATTATAGAATAGCCTCTTTAATTATGCAAATTAAGTCATCATTTGCATTATTTGCATTTAATTAATTAATTAATTAATTAAATATGTACAACGCTCTCTCAGCCACCTACATACCAAACCTGATGAAAACATGATGTTCCTATCTGTACTTATTGGCTTTAAAGGTTTTTACCAGAAACTAACGTGTAGTTCCAGAACAAGCTTCCAGGGGAACCAAACTCACACCACTTATTCCTGACAGGAAAAGCTATCTGTCACTAATAAATCAAAACCATATCATGTTCAGGACAAAAGATACAAAAACCGAAAGTTCTGCTGCAGTACCAAGGTCATCCACCAGGTGGCCCATATTTGACTTTGACCTTCGTCTTCCTAAGACGTACCTGCATACCAAATATCATCACAGTCCATAAATGCGTTATGACGATATAAGTGTGGAAACACACAAACACAGACAGGCCAAAAACAATGCCTCAATTTTTTTACGGAGGTAACTAGAATATCTCAAATATTGTGGGTGATCGGGGGGAATTCAAAAAAATATTTCAAAGGCACTTGGTTTAAACAGTTACTTCTCAGTTGGGTTAAGGTGGCCTAGGCTGATATCCATGTTTGAGTTCGGGCGTGTGTCTGCACGGTGGCCACAGCCTTGTTTTGAATCAAATGATGTTCCACCGTTTTCGATATGACGTCATTCGAAAAGAACGCGTGTTCGAATTCGGCGTTACCGGCCATCTTCTTCCTCTTAATTGATTGGCGGCCAACATCAACGTACTGATTGCTTTGTCGCACTTGGTTGGTTGGTGAGGTCTGAGGTCACGGTAGCATGTTGATGTTTTTCAAAGATAATGTGTCGGAAAATGGCAGCTACTGCAAGCTATCCAGTTTGTTCTTAAAGGACTCTAAGGATAGGGCAGACACGACCTCCGCAGGCAGGGAGTTCGACTCAGCCACATTACGTGGAAAGAAAGACATCTGCCTGTGTGTTGTTCTGCAAAGACGCATGTCGTAGGTCAGGGGGTGTGACCGTCTTGTCTGTCGTTTGTGTTGACTGGCAGTGGGCAGGTTACGGGAGTAAACAGTGATCATTCCGTGATGCAACTCGTAGGATGCTGTTAACCTTGCTTTCCTTCGTCTCTGCTGTAGTGTTTCCCACTCAAGGTCCTCCAGCATACTCTCGACGCTTGATGTTTAACGGTAGCGACTACACACCCAGCGTGAAGCTCGTCGTTGTACTTTCTCTAGAGTAGTTATGTCCTTGTTGCTGTGTGGATCTCACACTGTACTAGCATACTCTAGTGAGGATCTCACCAATGCCCTATAAGCTGCCTCTTTGATGGAGTTGCTATTGATCTTGATATTTCGTCGAACGGAGCCAAGGGATCTGTTTGCTCTATTTGAGATGTGCAGTCTCCATTTCAGGTCCTTAGTGAGAGGTCCTTAGTGAGAGAGACAGATATTTCACATTTGGTTCTTTCTGAAGTTTGTGACCGTGGAGCTTATAGGCCCGGTGAAAGGTTTTCTTCCTCCGGGTCATGTGAACTATCGAGCATTTTTGAGTGTGAAAGCTCATTTTCCACCCCACCCCCCAATCTGCAAGCTTGTTCAATTCCTCCTGTAGGCGGACCTGGTAATGTGTAGTCTAATGGTCGTGATATGCTGTATCATCAGCAAACAGCCTTGATACTGAAGACAGTCCTACTGGTAAGTCGTTTATAAACAGTAGAAACAAGGAGGGACCCAGAACTAATCCCTGCGGGACTCCTGATTCTACTGATACATACTCTGACCTTGATCCATTTACAACTACAGCCTGCTTTCTGTCAGACAAGAACTCACTGATCTATGTATTAACTTTTCCAGTTTACATGGAATTCTAGTCAATGATATAGTTCTCTGCTTTCTAACTTTCACCCTTTTTGAATACTGGGCATATATGGGCACACTTCCAGTCATTTGGGACAACTCCTTTGTCAAGGGAAGCCTGGTATAAGAAAGCAAGTAACGGTGCTATCTCTGTGGCTACCTCTCTCAATATGCGTGGACTAAGTTGGTCCGGCCCACTTGCCTTGCTAGGATCTAGGTCACGAAGAAGTTTTTCAACATTAGCAGTCGTGATTATGATGTCCTCTAGAGTAGGTTTCGAGGGAGCATCTGGATTCAGTTCTGAGCTTGAATTCCTCCTCGTTGAAGTCTTCTCTAGCACTGAATGCCGACTGGAATCGGCTGTTTAAGATCTCCGCCCTTTCTTTGTCGTCTGTAATGAGCTTTCCTGCTACCTTGAGTGGAGAGACTCCCGAGTTCTCATTCCTCTTTGATTTGATGAAAGCCCTGAACTTCTTTGTTGGTTTAGGTTTCTCTATGCACTCTTCCGTAATAAAGCCTTGCACATGATCCCAGTACTGCCGCCTGAGCTGCTGCTGGACTTGACGTTTAGGTGATTCAAATGCTTGAAACAAGTCTTGTCTTTTAGTTTTCTTGTATTTTTTTGCGGATTCTTGTCTCTTATCCATGGCTGACTGCCCCTAGCACGAACCTTATTGAGTGGGATGTACTTCTGTACTCTTTCCAGCATTCCTGTCTTAAAGTCCATCCAGATGGCCTCAACGTCTTACTCGTCTGTATGAAAACCCAGGACCGACTCAGTGAGTTCTTTTGATGTCTTCCTCAGGCCGTCCCAGTTAGCTTTTTTGAACCACAAGACCTGGCGTTCTTTTTTGGCGGATACAAGGGTTGGTAATCTTGATTTCGGCGTATGGTATGTTTCCCCTGTAAACTAGTGCGTCGTTACGAATTTTATTCACGGATTATGACTAAACCGGCTTTACGCTAAAAACAACATAATTGACCTTTAGAGTAATCCATTTTTACGTATTATTACTTTTTATTAGATTTGTCCGAGGTTTTTTTCGCATGTATTTGGATGTTTTCTTACTGGGGCGAAGTTTCAAACCGAAAATGGCCAAACATAGCTGTTTCTTGTGATTTTGACCCAAAACTAAAACAAAATACCCATTTCAAACAAAAAAGCTTCGGACAGAAATAACCCGTATGGGCTTGGCTCTCATCTTAAATAAACGGCTATTTTTTAGCCAAAATGTGTATTTTCAAACCAAAATCCAGGGAAAACTGAAGTACGCTTTATTAAATACGTTTCAAGTACAACTAAAACTGTGTTAAGTTTGGTCGCGGTGCGACCGAGCTATCAAAAGTTACAGTCATATTCCCATGTCCCCCGCCTTAACCCAACCGAGTTTGAAAAATATGCATTAATTGACGTGCTGGCTAGTTATAACTTCTTTTTTGTCAGATATCTATTGACTCATGCCATATTTGAAGTCAAATGCATGGTAAAAAAAAACCTTTTGTACATATGAAGGAATAGTGATCGTGGTCCTTTTGAAGAAGAAACCAACTTTACAATAAATATGAAACCAAACAGCCAAGAGTATGGAACCAAACAATAGATTGCGAGTTGATAAGTGTGCCCCCACCCCACCTAAAACAAAAATATTATTACCTCCATGACATGTCATGAGGGTTATATTTTCAGTTGCGTCCGTCAATCTGTCTGTTAGTCAACAAAATAACTCAAGAACGGCTGGATGAATGGTTTCATATTTCGTGCGTCGGTAGGGTGTGGCAAAAACTGGAAATGATAAGATTTTGGGCCCCCTAACGGCTTCCCTTGGTACTGCAGCGCAACTTCCGGTTTAAGTATGTCCTAATCTGGACAAGCTAGGGCCATGCATTTTAAATGGTTGGTAGCTCTTGTCCTCGGAATGACGTCACATGAGTTTGGCACTCCAACGGCTTGTTCTGAAACTGCAGGATGGTTTCTTTGAAAAACCTTCGAGAGGGGATAACTAAACAATCGTTTGACGGATCGTTGTGATTTTTGGTACGTAGGTAGCGTAAGTGATGCTTGACAGAAATCTAATACAATAAATAATATTATGAAAATCAGGATCTGATTTTCATAATCAATTAGGAAATTCTTTAAATCTGCTGTTTTCTATATTAGAGATATGGAACACTTGTGACGGATGAAATTAAAAACGACAAGATCATTGACAGATATGGATTATCTAAATGAAGACCTAATTTGCATAATGAATGGGTTATTGGTACATTTTTATGGTGTAGTGGGGCAGATAACATCAAATTTTGGAGGAATCTTTCAAATTGTGATACAAGCACCAAACTTGGTACAAAACCTCATGAGACATTACTCTTTTAAAAGTACGCGGGCCACTTGATTTGACTTTTGGCGCCCCCTAGCGGCGCTTTTTGGTACTGCAGCCGACCTTCCGGGCTTTGTATCTCCTGTTCCAAACATGCTACAGTCATGATGTTTATGTGGTAGAAAGCTGTTGGGGTAAGAAAGAAGTGTCGTAAATTTAGTGTTCCTAGCAGCTTGCGTTGGAACTGCAGAAGCATGTTCAGGATAAAAAAAAACTAAAACCGGAAGCTCTGCTGCAGTACCAATGTCAGCCACCAGGATGACCATATTTGCCCGAATTGTTGCTTACGACTATACTCATAGTGGTTAAATACGTGTAACATTGCATTTTTGAAACCTACCTTCCTTTCAACCATTGGGCGTCTTCGGAATTGAAGTTCTGTATGGACTTCACCGGAGCTTCATAGGCCTGCAAAAGCCTGTTGACACTTTCCTTCAAACCATCGGCGTCGTTCCGGTGAGATATTTTGGCGTCAGAAACCTCTGGGAATCTTAAGATGTGTGACACACATCCTCCAATGACAATCCCGAAAATAAGGACGGCTAATCGGCTTTTACAGAGACGACGGATTGCTTCATGCATCATCATACTGTGCAGTGATAAGAATAAAGTATTTTAGCTTCATATTATTATCAATATATATGTTTTAGAAGTCACCACAATACCCACGTCACACGACCCAACACTGGGTTATACTAGACACCACAATACTCACATCACACGCCCCACACTGGGTTATACTAGACACCACAATACCCACGCCACACAACCCCACATTGGTAAATACAAGTCACCACAATATCCACGCCACACAACACCACACTGGGTTTTACAAGTCATCACTATACCCACGTTGTCCGTCCTAAAAGACAACCAGACGCATAATGCAATTATAACCCATTGACGACTGCGATGCAAGATAATGGCGGCAAAACTGTAAATAATTTGAATATGGCAATGCTAATAAAATTGGCACATACCGCCCCACTTACCAAGGTTTTATTAGTACTTTATACATTTGGCTTTATGTGTACCCATGCATAAAGTACCCTCTCGCGGCATATATATTGTCAGCCATTATAATTCCGTCAAAAAAGAAACAATATTACAGCTTACCAAAACTGAGTCTGATTCTCCTCCGTGAATAAATTGTTGTTCTTGTTTTTTCCTAATAGGCAAGACACCAAGAGGACCCTCAAAGGAAGATACTATATATATGTTGACGTGGAACTGGCATAAAGCTTTGCCACGTTGTTCACACCCTGTGTGCAGTTCCGTGTTTACAACAAATCAGCATCCGGGCGTGATGCGCAGTGTATGAGGATCCAGTGGTAACTGTTTTGTTAAGCCTTGGAAAATATATAACAGCGAGCAGATTATTATTGGACTGAGCAGAGCACTTTGGACAAATCTCACAAACTTTTATGTTACAAAGCGGATCATAATGACCTACAGCGGGGGTCTTCACGCTTCGTTAAAAATGGAAAAATCTCAAGATTCCAAAGATCTCAATATTTTAGACGAAATCAGAAAATATTAAGATGAAAACGAAAGGTCTCAAGATGTTTTCAAACCATCTTGAGATTTTATTTTTCCATAGCATCTCGAAAATCTTTTTAAAGATCTCATGATTTGTAAAGCAATCTTGAAAGAAACGTTGAAGTTGCTCTCTAAACTTGATATTTTTCAACAATCTTAAATATTTTTAACGCATTTCGAGATGCTATGAAAAAATCTCAAGATGCGTTGAAAACATCTTGGAAATGTCTTGACACCTGTTGTTTTTATCTTAAGATTTTCTGAAAGATCTTGAGAATGTCATGAAAAATCAAGATTGTCTCATAAGATCTCAAGATTTCGTCTAAAATATTGAGATCTTTGGAATACTTCTGAGGTTTTTCCATTTTTAACGAAGCGTAAAGATCCTTGCTTAGGGTCATTATGATTTGCTATGTAACAGAGAAGTCTTTGACAAAATTTTGGATTTGTACCTCTAAGCTGTAAACAGCCAGAGGCATTAGTCCAAAGTGCTCTGCTCAGTCCAATAATAATCTGCTCGGTGCTATATACTGTGTTTTAATTTCTGTTCTTAAAAAATATACGGTCCGTAGAAATTCAGATAAAAATACAAATACGGATAAAAATGTAAAACTAAAATAAATCAGGACATTCTTAAGACACCAATATAATTTGTTGTTTCTCAGAATTGTCGCTATCAGATTTCGCTAAATAGGAAAAAAATTATAAAAATTCAATTTTACCCATAAGTTCCGCCCAAGAGGAGTTTGCCAAAAATAGATCTTAAAAAACTTGAATACTGCAGTTTTATCAAGAGATGATACGTTTCTCTCTTACCAATTGTGTCATGTGAAGTATGGAAACCTATAAAAGGGCTCCAATTTGCATACAAATGAGGAAACATAATTGTGGCCAGTTTAGAGTTTCGTGAGCAGAACTTCGTCGAGTTTTGAGCAGAACTTCTTGAATGTACTCTTCGAGAAGTAAGAAAAAAATAGTGGCGGGAGATTTAGTAAAGGCACAATTTTCAGAAAAGCCACAATTAGTAATGTCAGAATTTTCGGTGTTGAAATTCTAGGGGAGGAAAAATTTGCAGAACTTAAGCTGGAACAAAACAAATTTCTGCCGTTGGGTTTGATGTCCTTGAGTTATTTCAGAACATCATTGGTTTAATAAACTACTACTGCTAGTATCCTATATCGTCCTTAATATGTAAAGAGCGAACCCAATGTATCATGCTAAACTAATTTAGCCATCAGGAAAATAACCCTGTTCAATAAATCTATCGTGCTGTAGAGGCCATAAATAAAAGACAAATGCACTCAAATTACATATGTATAACTTACATGCACTGCGCATTCTTGTCAGGCACAGTTGAATAAATAGTCTGAGTTCCCCCTTTAAGCATGTTGTTAAAAGTTTAAAGTACTTAAATATGTTCTGTTGTAAACTTTACCAAGAATTAGTTTTGGGATTTTATGAATAGACAAAAATGAATACTGCTCTGTTTATTATTATTAGTTTATACAATCCAGGAGTGTAGCCCTGTCAACACATCATCATTATGAATTGATAATAAAATCAATACAAACATGTAGGTGGAAATAAGATCATGACTATGAAAAGAGCATCACACAAGTACATAGCAGTAATAAAATAATTTTTTTTCTTTTCTTTTCTGTCTACATCTTTGTACATTTCAACACGAGAGCCCCCTGGCCCCTATTTCCAGCCCTAGCCTCACCATCAGACTTCACAGCTTTTTTCGCCCTTTCGCTTCATTTTTGTGATAAAAAATCCGAGAACCAACAAATTAAATTAGTGTTGCCTAAGGACCTTTCATTCTCTTTGATTGTGGTAAAGTGACATATCTTTTTGTAAATGCACGATTTACAGCATACACATTCTTTAGTTACCTTTGCCAAGACGGTTATGCCTTTGTATGTGTTTGTTTTTGTGTCTGTGTGTTTCTGGCTTTTTAACAAGATAACTCGAAAAGGCTTAAATGAATTGTATTGATTTTAAGTAGATAGGTAGGTCGTAATTAAACCTGAAAATAATTAGATTTGTGGATCTGGCGACTTGCTTTGGTACTGCAGTGGAACTTCCGGTTTGGATATCTCATGATTTGGACATTTTCAACACAGCGTAGAAACAGACACTTAAACAAGAATTAAAGGTGGAAAATATTTCAGTAGACTTAAAGACTTCGTAAAGGCCGCTGAAAGGCAAATTCCGCCTTTCCGTCACCTTTTAGTGTGCTTGAATTTCAAGTAAACATAAATATATTTACGCTCCCTTTACAAGTCCGTAAACATTACAACAGGAAAACCGACATTTAAACAAACTTTCCGCAATATGTAAAAGTAAAGGTGGAAAATATCTCATTACACTTTACAACTTCTCAAAGGCCTCTGAAAGGGAAATGTTCCGTTTCGTAGCTTGTTTTTTTTTTTACCGTCTAACCGTGTTCCAAATAGACAAATTCTCGCCCAGCCGGCTTCGTTTTAACTCTTTTTGAGAAGCATGGCTTGACAAAACAAATTGCTTTTATGTAAAATCCTTTGCGTGAACTAAAAAAGTGTCCATATGCAGACACCCAATGAGGTAGGTGTCATGTGATAGGGTGATATCCAGTGAGAGACAACACAGCGAGGTTTGAATCTACCGGACTCAAGTCATTCTTTTTGGCGTCTATTTCCAACTGAGAAATAATTGCTGATGCTGAGAATCCCATGGAGCAAGAAAAGGCAAAAAGCATTTTTTTTTCTTCTAGAGCATATGTTGAAACTGATGGAGGACCAGCCGCCAAGGATCCAGGAGCTTAAGTAGCAGGGGCGACGACAACTGGACTCTCGGCCCGGTCCGTCTGACGGGGGGGACGGTCAGGAGAACAGAGGAGAAAGCTTTACAAAACGCCGTATATGAGGGAGCTAAACAAAAATATATGTTTGGAGATACAAGTAGTCCATTTACTGTACATGTATGAGTAGGTTGATAGTAGTTGATAATAATTAGCTTAGTTTAGGATTGTATTACATGATAGAACTATACAAGCCTGTGGCAGATGTAATTGAGAACAAGAGAAATATTGATATTGATTATGTAAATTTGCATAGTTAATAGATACTATTCAGCAACGGTAACTGCCAGGAATTTTAAACCTAGGTATTTGAAAGTTTTAAAAGTGAAGGTAAACATCATTAAATATAACTTATTCAAACGTGTGATGTTAGTTCACAACATAACACGTTCACATCTACAAGAACTGATCACGGATAACAGCGTCACCCAGTACCTGGAAAAATGGGCGGGTCTAAAGAGATAAACAAACCCCGGAATCCTGTACCACAGTCAGGGTCTGGGCCTTACCAGCAGATCTATCTTCAACAACATGCTACCGTCATCGCATCAACTACAACAGTAGGCGATCCAAGTGTCCAGAATGCTCTAGAAAGGAAACTTGAAAGGGGGCGATCCTTAAGCCACAAGTCCACGGGTAACCTGGACTGTCACACTCTCGTGAACGAGTCTCTCTCAACATTGTCCAGTCTGTCTCCTCACGATACCCCCCATCATGTCGGAAAGTAAAAGTGCACCTTCGTCAGCAAGATGCAGAAGACAAAAGGACAGAAGACCACTGCAGATCTCTTACCGTACAGGGAAACTGGATTGAACTTGTAGATCTGGAACAGTCGGACACAAAATGGAGAAGTTCCCTGTTGAACAGCCGCCGAGGCGTCTTTGAGTTTGCCCTGAGCCGTATGGTCAACTGGCTTCCCACACGTGACAATCTGGTTCAGTTGGGGAAATTCTTGTCCTCTAACTGTCCCTTATGTCAAGGTCATCAAACACTGAGGCATGTCCTAAACTCCTTTCTGGTCGCCCTGAAGGACACCAGGTATACGTGGCATTTCAACAGCGTCCTGAAGGAGTTGGTGACCACCCTTTAGCAGTGGTACTCCGAGTCTGGTCAACAGGTCACCATCAGGCGTGACTTGAGACCAGATACAGTTGAAGGGGGCACACATACCACCATTCCAACGGATATTCTACCCACGTCACTTATTCCGGACATCACTATTCAGGACCCTGTCAAACAAAAGCTGACTCTTGTTGAACTTACTGTACCTTTCGAACAAAACACCCTCGACGCAGAGGACAGATAAAGGGCAAAGTACGAAGTTTTGTTGAACGAAATCCACAGTCCTAGTAGCTACGAAGCTACTCTTGTAACGATTGAAGTAGGGAGTAGAGGGTGGGTAAGTGGGGTAAGTGGGGGAAACACGAAGTTAAGATCGCTATGTGTTGTTAACCACAAGGACAGGGAAGTGCGACACCTGAAAACCAGATTGGGCAAATGTGCAATATATATGTACCTCGTATGTCATATACTGTGCAAGAAATACTGTTGGTTAGGGCATACCCATGGGACTGTTCTCATGCTGTAAGTAGCTTGCTAAACGAGGAAGTGCAATAGTCAACTAGTGCAATATATTAATGTATACTTTTTATTATATTGAGTAAACCTAATGAATCACCATTTTTAAAATGCAGTTTCGGTGTACGCGTCCAGATAGTCCGACGCACGCATACTTACCTTGCGTCCCGTGAGTTCATATTATTAACTCATACTAAGGGATTGACCTAGGTGTTTTTAATGTTCGTCTTGTTTGTTTGTCAAAACTTAAATGAAAATAGATTTAACTCTTAGGACTTCATTTGCATAATTTAAAAGGAAATGCTAAAATGGCATTTTTTTGTTAAGATAAGACTTTCTTTAATGGAGAATATGATTTACTTATAAAATTCATTGAAATGAAGATGTGCATAATATATATATTTTTCAGTGATAAAGATTAACATCATTTGTCGAAGGTATATGGTCATGTAACTCTAGTATTTTGTATGTTTTACTCAAAACATTTTCTCAGTTAATATTTGTTTCTGTCGTCATATTCACATATACCGATGTTAAAGTTCTGCGTAGCCGTTTCAAATGTTCTGAAAGTTATCGTTTAGGACATTTGTTTAACGGACAGGAACTGATTCCATCAGATTTATGTAGCACTACGTGCATTAAACAGATCCTAAAGTCAGCTTAAGGATGTGTTTGATCTATCTTTACAGAATGAGATCTGACTTTAAAAAAAAACTAACAACACGGATCAAACCCTGTGTTACGGCTCATGTCTTGAAAGAGAATCATTCCAATGAATTTTTAAAATGTTTAAACACCTGCCATTAACGTTATTATTTTCATACATACGTGTTACTTTAACATCCAAATATACTTTATACCTATCTATTAACCCTATCTAGACTGGGTAGGGGGTGGGGGCTAAAAGTGCCCGCGCCAACTTTGATGTTGGGTAACGTCAGAACGATTTGTGCTAGGGCCACCAAACTTGGTGACTTTTCCTAAAATAGCGTTGCTAATAATTTAATAGCAGTGAGGTAAATTTATAATTTTCGTGTTGGCGTGGCAACGGGTTTCTGAGAAGCTATTTTGGCAAATAATAGATAATTTGTGAGTCCCCCCGCCAGTCCCAAAAATAACAAAAAGCCGTCTAGATAGGGTTAAAACTGTCTACATTTTGGATACATGTATTTACTCACTACCAAAAATGCCAATCTTGTTTTTCTTCAGGGAAGACAAATTTTCTTCCACTGAGAAAATTATTCTTCACCCAAGAAAAAATATTGTCAATGAGACAAGAATTTAAAGAAACTGCATTTTAGTTTATTGTGGTAAGATTTCTTTTCTTATGTATCTTGAACTAAATACCCTTAGAATATTATTCTTGCAGTAAGAATTTCTAAGATTTCTAGAAAACCATTCTGTACACAAGAAAAGATTTCTTGAACTAAGATCTAAACTATTCTTGTAGCAATAAAACCATTCTCCCTACAAGAAAATATTTTTTCAACTAAGATCTAACTGTTCTTGTGGCAAGAAAATCATTCTGTACACAAGAAAAGATGTCTTGAAGTAAGGGGCTAACTCTTTCTTGTAGTAAGAAGACCATTCTTCAAACAGGAAAAGATTTCTTGAACTAAGATCTAACTCTCCTTTAGCAAGAAAACCATTCTGTACACAAGAAAATATTTCTTGAACTAATAGCTACCTGCTCTTGTAGGAAGAAAACAATTCTGTCCACAAAAAAATAAATATATAGTGCCTTCTAAATATAAATGATGATCTAAATATAAATAATGATGTTGTATAGCAAATAAGTGTTATTTTGAAAAGCATTTGGGGGTATAGAGATGTTTATTACCACATTGATTTTGTACAATGTTTCCAATTAAAAATATAAATTCAGTCAATCAACATTCGTGGAATGGAAACAGTTTAACAGTAAATTTCAAAATATTATATGATATAACTAACAAGCCATTATGCTTTCAGAATACAGATCATATCACATTCTAAAACATATTCAGCAAAAACTGCAGTTTTGGCATGATAGAATTGGCAAAGTCATACATTTTGGACACCTGAAAAAACAGGAAAGACCTTTATTAGTTTGCATGCATGCACTGAAGGCAACAAAGTCAAAACAGGATGCCAAAACAATATAATTTATTACTTAAAGTAAATAATGGAAAATTATGTAATAAAACAGTAATGCACTTTAATATACAATACACCAGAGATATGATTTGACTTTCGAAATCAACCCCAATGGCGTTGTAACAATATTTTGGCTATGAAGTCTAAAAACAATGTCAACAGATTTTTCTTCTAGGTGGGGAGGGGGGCTCACTTACCTTCTATCTGTTTGGTTTCATGCTTTTTCTGTTGCAAAGTTTGTTTCTTCTGCGACCAAGATCACCATTGCTTCACATGTATACTGGGTCCTTTTTAACTTGATTTTGACTTCAAATCTGACATGAGTCAATAACTGACAAAAATAAGTAACCAGCGCGGCTTCCACAACTGACTTATGTTCAAAACCCTCTAACTGCATTTTGGGATTAAAATCAACCAATCAGGGGTTCAGAAAAGGTCACATGATCAAGAAAACTAGTAAGTTAAGAAAAAAGTTTCTACCGGTACATCATCTCGAACATTTCCAGGAAAATAAGAATCATCTCTCTTAAACTTTCTGGTATTTTCTTAAATGTTGCTATAGAAGAAAAACTAGAATGGCCGTTTTTAACTTTCTAACGAAGAAAATCAAAAATGTTGAAGAATATAATACTAGCCATATTTTAGCCTAATCAAAGATTTTGTATCTTTGTTGTTTATTTTCTTATCAGTGTTTGTCAAGAAAAATAAGAAGTTTATTTTTGTATTTTCTTAAACAGAGAAACAAGAATGACATTTCTCAATCTTTCTAGGTTACAATAAACATTTTTGGCATACACAAGAAAAAGGTAAATATGACCACTTTGATGTAATGTAAGAAAGAAATCATACATGAAAACTGAATAATAAAAATTAACTAAGTCTGAGGGAATTTTTAAGATGAAAAGATTCTAATATTGCAAGTTAGAATCTTCCCTAGAAATATTGTCTTTACTAGAGGAATTTTAGTTTTATTTAAAAAAAATTCGAATCTTGTAAGTTAGAACATCCTCTAGAAATATTTCTTTACTGAAAAAAAATCAAGATTTTAATGAAGCCTATTCTCCTCTTAAGAAAAATTAGAAAATATTTCTTGGTGCAAGAAAGTAGGTATAATGAAATTTTTTTTCTTATTATTCTCCCCCAAAGAAAAATTGTCTTCCCATAAGAAAAGAAGAAAAAGAAGAAAAAGCGTGTTTGGTAGTGCATGCGGTCGCTAAATGTTTACCTGGCAACTTACATGGCGTTATGGAGTAAAAACGATGAAAGATTTATTATTTTAGACATATTTTGTCGGTCTATTGTATTTAATGTCTCCTATTCCTGACCTCTGTTAATCTGTACATTGATTAGCAGGGTCACGGGACAGGCAAGCTAAATCAAGATACACTAGCATCTTATCGTGTCTGTTAGAAATAAAGTTTGATATTCCATGCTACAGCAAGATTCAGCTTTATTGTACACGTCTTAACAAACTCTGCAAGGCGCATGGTCAAACCTAAAGGACTCGGTTAGGTATGTGAGCATTTATCTCAAACTGTAAGCCAGCAGTCTGCATTGTTCCTAAAGTAAATTATCCTATTCTGCAACTTCTGGTAGTCTTTGATGTCCCTGCCATGTCGGTATTTCTGGTACTCGTTGGTCCAAGTCCGGTTGTGGTGGATATGAATCCCCATGCAAGCAGCCATCCGAAGCTTTCCCAATGCATCCAAGTAAAACTCTGCTCAATGGAAAACGGTGCTTAACTTTAAAAGCACAACAATTGAATAAGATACAGAATATGATGGCATTTAATACTGAACAACATTTCTACGTAGAGCTGTAGCATTGCAGCTAATTAATGGTTTATATGCTGAGATTTGATTTTGGAAACCAAAGCATTTCTTCAAGCATTGTTGAATTGGTACTTTTAGAAATTTCTGGTCGTATAATTAACAAATATCTATTTAGATATTGCACTTATTATGAGTTTGTTACATTGTAATGGAAATTATTTTATTTCTGTCCGCTTCATAACAGAGTTTGCAAATGCAAAATTTTAATAATATTTCTGCTGTTTTTATTTGAAAGCCAAAGGTTATGATGATGAAAAGTTAAATGGGCAAATTGCAATATGTATAAAAAGGCCTAGAATTACCTTTGTCTGCTTTTCTGGAGTAAGCCGGATAAAACCCTACAGACCGGACCCCATCCGTTCTACCCATGAAGAAGTTGACAACCCGAGTTGTGAAATAGCAGTCTGGAAACCCGGGTACTTGGCCATAATTCTTGCCTTTCTCGCTTAAGATGCAAAAACCACCATCCTCGTGTACTCCGGGAATCACTGCCATCTTAGTGACATGCAACTTTATATTGCCTCGTAATCCAGAAACCTGCCGGAAGTAAATAATTAACAAATAATTAAAAGGTAAAAATCTACAAAAAACGCGCTTCCAATATTCTATACTAAACGACAATCGTAATTTTTATTTTACAACCATTTGGTCTTTTGATCAGACATGGGAACAGCTGTTTAGGCTTCCTGCTAAAAGATACCCCTTCAAATTTCTTACGACTTCTTTGTTTACCACGTGTCTCAGGTTAATTCTATTCCGATTGTTTTTTATCTTGCAATTCTCAAGTTGTTTAACTCTTGTCAAGCAACACCGAATGATTCTCAGCTCGAGCTTTCGACCACTCACCCTGGCCTTCCTAAGTAGGCAGACCCAATGGAGCTCGTCATGTGGCTTCTCTAAAGTGTGACGACAACACTGGGTCAAACCATTCAGTGTTGTTAGATCGAAAGTTTAAACTTTAAGTACTTAACTACCAACACAGTGCTTGAGTTGACGATTGGACTCTACTGTATGCAATTTCGACGATATTAACTTAGCGATCTACAGAACGTCTTACTTGATCATTTCGCTATAGCCTCTAGAAGGTGATAGATAATTTACGAGGAATTCTACAGCAATGGTCTTCCATAGTACAATAGACAAATTACCAGAGACTAAGGTTGATTCCATGTTTGTTGATGCCATATTTTTAGATTATTTATCATATACTAAAACTAAAGTCATAGGTAGTCTTTATTCAGCTAGACGGTTTTCTTAGCTCGTAGACCACTCAAAGACCTACATTGGACCTGTTCAAAATGCATTAGTTTCCATTGGGTGATTTAAAGCCAAAGAACGAAGACAATTAAGACATCAATAAGCTACGAATAACATAGCTTACTATTTTACATTCACTGTGGGGATTTATTTTTTCAATCTTAGGCCTGTGGTCGTGTATTATAATTGAACACAAAAGATACAAATCTTACCACGTCTAAGTTGCTGTTATCGAGGATTTTTACCATAGCCTCCAGTTTTGTCTCTTCATGGAAGGCGTAGTCATCATCCAACCACAACAGGTAAGGTGTGGTGACTTGAGATGCAGCCAGGTTTCTACCACCAAACCAGCCCTGCAGAGAAGTTTCGTTAGCTACACGGAACGCATGGCACCCGCGGCTGTATAACAGTTATTAACACTATTCAGACCGGAGGTGGTCTTTTTAGGCCCGCGCCCACTTTCATCTCAGATAGCACCTGAACGGCATATCCTAGAACATAGAATTCTGTGATTTTTCCTAAAATGTATCTGGGAACAATTTCATACTAAGTTCATAAGTTATGGAATTTACGACGGGTTTCTGACAGAAAGTTTTTGGAAAATTCTACAATTTTGGTGTAAACTTTAAAATTTTCTTGGTTTTATCTAAATTAAACTTTCATTCTAATATTATTAACATCTTATATAATCATGTCACCTGTGTGTCGGTACTGTTGTATGGCTGTGAAACCGGGGTGCTGTCGCGCGACATGGAGGACAAGATAAACTCTTTTGCTACATCTTGCCTTAGAATCATGTTGAACATCAAGCGCACAGACCATGTAAGCAACAACCAAATATACAAAACTACGAACACATCATCAGAGTGAGACAACGGCAACTGCGCTTTTTCGGACACGCCCTAAGGATGCCGGTAGAGGAACCACTCAGGACTTACGCCCTCTACGTTCCGCCCCATGGCAGAACCTGCTGGGGGATCCAGAACCTGCTGGGGGATACGGAAGGTGACCTGAGCACTGACAGGATTGCTGCGCTGGCTGCTGACCGACGGACGTGGAATGGACTTGTGATCGCCTGCTTATTTTACCAAAACTCTTTACTTTTCACCTAAAACATTCAAATGGACATCATTTACCCATTTGCATTGCGTTATAGGGCTGTTTCTTGAACAAAACATTATTCTAAAAATTCCAGATTGACCGTCTAAGCAGGCCGGCAGCCTAACTGTGCATGGCGTCATTTTAAGACGTCATTTTGACGTCTGTGTCATTGCCAGGGACAACATAAGTGTTACTCGTCCATGATATTCTATCATAAGCAGTTTTCGTCAAAGTTTGAACGTCTTCCTCTCCGTTTTCCTAAAAAAAAATCTGGGTTCTAAAAAAAACACTTAAATAATTCTATTTGATGTCATAATGACACAAAAGTTGATGTTAAGAAATTAATCTTATTCAAACACCTTCCTCTGAAAATTTGGTGGCCGTACGCATATACGATAAGTGGCTGTTGAGTTACAGAGGTTGGGCATGAAAAGCCCGGTCTGAATAGGGTTAAAGCCCCGACGGCTTAATAAAGGGTCAATGCCTCGCCCCAGGTTTATATGGTAAAATAATCCCTGATCAAGTGCGATAACCAAATAAACGACCAAGCGAGCGTATTCTAATAACCGACCCCTTTTTAGGTTGCGGCATGGCATCCAATGAAATGGGCCCTTCTGATTGGTCGACGCCTTCTGGCTATATGATAATATATAATGATGACGTTTTGTTAGCAATAGCGTTTTGATGATGAAGAGTTTACACTGTTTCTTACGAGGCTGAAAAGCTTGGGTATAACAAATTCAGCGGATTTACTTAAATTCATCCTTTTCGCATTGTGTCATCTTTCCACATACTGTGAATTTTTTATTTTGTCTAGTATATAGGAAATGTTTAAGACCGTTAAATCAATTGTTGTAAATACTTACCGATCCAAAAGGCATGACATAATGATCTACATGTTCAGATTGTAGGTCCTCGATAGGGCTATTGTCATCTGCTACAATTATCCGCATCTTGGGGTAGTATGTCTGGATGCTTTGGATGAGGACTCTTACTGATGAATACCTCAGAAAGGTCTTTGTGATAATGGTAACCTTGTCATTTATGTCACCTAAGAAATAAACAATTGTTTAAGAGAGAGGGAGAGAGTAAATGAGAGAGAGATAGGAAGAGTGACTTAACATGCTCATTCTCATTAAAATGCGCAGAATGGTGATTTCTTTAGGAAAACACCTGAATCTTATGATAAATAAAAAGTGACAGCCTAATTGTCGAATTAAGTTATCGAAAACGTATGATCTTTAACCCTACCTAGACGGGGGGGGGGCTAAAAGTGTCCGCCCCAAATTTGATGTCACCTAGCGTCTGAACGGCTAGTGCTAGAACGGCCAAACTTGGTGACTTTTCCTAGAATATTGTTGGCAACAATTCTCTATCATTGGAATAAGTTAATAATTTTTTTGTTTTGCCATGGCAACGGTTTTCTGACAGGCATTTTTTGCTAAATTTAGTAATTTTTGTTTCAACAATAGAATTTTATGGGTTTTATGTCAAGTTACTCATGGTTTCTGATACTAATAACATGTTAATGTAATTTAAGTAAATTAATATAACTTAATGTAAATTTCATCATTAAATATACATTATTTATGATAATTTGATGACGTCATTGGCCAAAAACCAAGATGGCTGACCATATCATTAGAACAGGTATAGCCCGTGTATACAAGCTCTCGGCCGGAGGTTAATGACCCCCACCCCAAGAGCTTGTGGCAGAATAGCTCTAAGCCGGGCGGCCCGTTCCCTTTCCTGGAGTCACCAATAGGAAGCCAGTATAGGAATTTCTATGGTAATCGACCGGGCCACCACGTGGTCATCGGCGCCAGGCAGCCCGAGTGGGGCGGAGTACCGGGCGGGGACAACAATTTGATCGATTGCGGGTTGGAATTTCTAAGAAAGATGGCGGCGACCAGCGCAACACCCGAGTTTCTGTGCGTCCTTGAGTCGGTGTGTGTGGACTTTGGGAGTCCCTGGCCCCTGAAGCCTCTTCAGGAAAAGACTATAAAATTCTTGGTTGAACAGAGAAACGATGTGTTTGCATGCCTTCCTACCGGCTACGGGAAGACCGAGATTTACACCTTGGTTCCCCTTGTCTTGGAGAGAATTCTCGACAGACACTGTATTATGTTGGTGGTTTCGCCGTTACTATCCCTCATGCAAGATCAAGTAGAGCGTCTACAACGAAGGGGAATTTCAGCAGCTTACATAGGCGAGACCCAGAAAGACCCAGAGATCAAGAAGGGCGTTGCTGAGGGTAAATACAGCCTGGTTTTTGCGTCACCAGAGGCACTGCTGAATTCGAAAACATGGCGGGGTATGCTGACCAGCCCGACTTACCGCGAGAACCTTGTTGGCGTCGCGATAGATGAGGCGCATTGTGTTACGACTTGGTAAGTAATTTGCATGATTTCTTAGTATGATACCAATGGAAAAAGTGAAAAAATTATAATAATCAGAGATACTGTGATGAGGAAAGGCAAGCGCCGTGTTGCGGCTGAATATATAACGTGACATCAAATGGGGAGGGGGGCATATCGCGAGAGTTTTGTGTATAACACAGGCTAGCATTAGCTTGACTAAACCGCGCTCCCCGCCGCCGCCCTTGTCATTAACCTCCGGCCGAGAGCATAGGCTAAGGCTAGCATGAAACCAAACAACTTTTTTTTGTGAAACGGTCAGATATGTAAAGGTTAGCCCGACGAAACCGCGCTTCTGGGGTGGGGGTCATTAACCTCTGTCCGTCATCTTATGTAACACAGGCTATGTAAACTAAAGGTGTGCATGTAAATGTGTGCATGTAAAGGTGTGCATGTTAACAATCCATTATTTATGGATATCTAAGAGGTTTTTTTAAGCCTTTGTTTCTGTCAAAAAATCATTATCTTTATTTCATAAACCAGGGGTGAAGACTTCAGAAAGGAGTACAAACGTCTGGCCGAACTGAGGTCATTGGTTGCGGACGTCCCTTTCCTCGCGCTTACAGCCACGGCCACATAAGAGATCAGGACGGACATCCTATCATCCCTGTGCATGGAGCCTGACACATACACGGTGTCAGTGCCTTCAAATAGGCCAAACATCATGTACCATTCAGTAGCCTCAAGTTATGACATGAAAAAGGAGTTCAACTGGCTGATTACAGAACTGAAAGAGAAAGGACAATCATGCAGGAAATATATTATCTACTGCAGAAACATTAAGGCTTGTTCACAAATGTATAAACTTTTTATGAAAATTTTAGGAGATGATGGATATAATCTTGATCTAGAGCAGACAAGATCATATAAGAATAGGTACGTGGCAATGTTCCACAGAAGCACGGCTGAGACTAATAAGAATTTTGTGTTAGACCAGTTTACCAAGACAGATAGTGTAGTCCGCATTACGATTGCCACCGTGGCATTTGGTATGGGAATAGATGTGCCTGATGTATTTGCTGTAGTACATTGGGGGGCACCGAGAAATGTTGAGGGATTCTATCAGGAGAGCGGAAGAGGGGGCAGGGATGGCCGACCTGCTCATTCTGTCATCCTGCATCAAAGCAGAACACTTGCAAAGGGTTCGTGTAAACCCAGTATGGCCACTTACTGCAAGCTGGATAACGACTCTTGCCGTAGAAGATATTTGTTAGACTACTTCAGACTCAAGAGTTGTAGCACTGCTACGGAGGACCAGTCAGTAGGAATTACCTGTTGTGACTTATGTGGAGATAGTTCATCACTACCGTGGAATCAACACCTATCACCCACAGCAGAACTCTCTGACGAGGAACTATTAAAACTATGTGCTATCCGTCATCCATCTACAGAACAGCTCAACATGTTAAGAGAATCGTTAAAAGACTTCAGAAGGGATTTCATGGAAGAAATGCAACCAACTATACGCAACTTTAATGTATTTTCTGGATTTAGCCTCGATGCTATTGATAATATTGTTGACTCTTGTGCAACATTGTTCACAAAAGAAGACATTATGACTGACATTGGGTTATGGAATAAAGAAGTGATTGATATGGTTTTCGCCATTTTAAATGAAACATTTCAGGACATTCAGGACAGTACATGAGAAGGCTTACTACTGTCAATGTGACTATGACAACAAGTGCATAGATAATACAAACAAGCAGGTGGTGGTGTCTTCAGCACACACAATCAATCCTAGTCAAAGAGAAACATTACTCGTCTTTGCGAAAGAGTCTGAAATAAACACATGTTGTATGTTGTATGCACAGTATGTTGTACACTGAATGATTCACAATCATCAAGTCACAAAATCCTGCCAAATCAATGTTTACACCCTTGTTGCAAAAAGATTCAAATGAGCTATGGATGACTTGTTTTATGTATAAATCATCTATGATAATAGTTTCAAGTTCAAATATTTGGTCGTTTGTACATACATGTATGCATGACAAAACAAAAGTTCATATCTGTTGTACTTTGGTTGCGGTTTTGCGTATATGATAATACCTTTGAGATGAAATTTGTTCTTTGGTCGTGGATGTACATATATATCTGTATATATATATAAATAATAGTCTCTTTGAGTTGAAATCTGTGCTTGTACTTAGGTTGCAGTTGTACACATACATTTATTAAATAGTCTCTTTAAGTTAAAATCTGTGCTTGTACTTTGGTTACATTTTTATTATAATATTTATAATCTCTTCAAGTTGAAATCTGTGGTTGTACAAACAGAAGAAACTACACTGAAGTGCCCATTGTACATTGCAAGTCTTAATGACCAAATCAAATACTGTACATCAAAATGATGAATACCGACCTTTCTTTATGTGTTTTGAACTCTGCCTAAATTTGACCACTAAGTCTTACTGGTTACATGTATATAGAGCTGAGAGAACAATGCTGATCTTGCTTTTTTCAAAACTAGAAAAAAAATCACACTGAGTTCTTAAAAAAAAGTAAGTTGTATGCATACTACCAAAGAACAAATATGCCATTAATGTATGTCTAATATTTTAGACCTCCAAACATGGAGTCTCTCCTCTGGGGTGAGCAGTCGGAGTCTCTCCTCTGGGGTGGGCAGTCGGAGTCTCTCCTCTGGGGTGAGCAGTCAGAGTCTCTCCTCTGGGGTGGGGAGTCGGAGTCTCTGCTGGGGGTAAATAGTCTCTTTAAGTTAAAATCTGTGCTTGTACTTTGGTTACATTTTTATTATAATATTTATAATCTCTTCAAGTTGAAATCTGTGGTTGCACAAACAGAAGAAACTACACTGAAGTGCCCATTGTACATTGCAAGTCTTAATGACCAAATCAAATACTGTACATCAAAATGATGAATACCGACCTTTCTTTATGTGTTTTAAATTCTGCCTAAATTTGACCACTAAGTCTTAATGGTTACATGTATATAGAGCTGAGAGAACAATGCTGATCTTGCATTTTTCAAAACTAGAAAAAAAATCACACTGAGCTCTTAAAAAAAAAGTAAGTTGTATGCATACTACCAAAGAACAAATATGCCATTAATGTATGTCTCCTATACAAACATCATGCAACAGGTAAAATATTTTAGACCTCCAAACATGGAGTCTCTCCTCTGGGGTGAGCAGTCAGAGTCTCTCCTCTGGGGTGAGCAGTCGGAGTCTCTCCTCTGGGGTTGGCAGTCGGAGTCTCTCCGCTCGGGTGAGCAGTCGGAGTCTCTCCTCTGGGGTGAGCAGTCGGAGTCTCTCCTCTGGGGTTGGCAGTCGGAGTCTCTCCGCTCGGGTGAGCAGTCAGAGTCTCTCCTCTGGGGTGAGCAGTCGGAGTCTCTCCTCTGGGTTGGGCAGTCGGAGTCTCTCCTCTGGGTTGAGCAGTCGGAGTCTCTCCTCTGGGTTGAGCAGTCGGAGTCTCTCCGCTGGGGTGAGCAGTCGGAGTCTCTCCGCTGGGGTGAGCAGTCGGAGTGTTTCCGCTGGTGCCTGAACCGTGCTCTAGATTTTTCCTCCACCTGTGAACCTCCTGATCGTGGTTCTTGGCTAGTTTGTCCACAGCTTTCAGGGTCTGTTTGTGGCTGATTGTCACACCACAAGAGTTCATTCTTTTGTAGACGGCAG